GTAAGGACGAATAAACAATATATATATATATATATATATATATATATATATGAACAAATTAGTCAAACTCCCGGGCATGAAAGGAAAAAGTTTATACCGAGTGTGATGCTCTAAACATTCAAATTAGAATGCGCCTCAAAAATTCCATTACAAATGGTTGTTTTGAAGCTCAAATATTTTCAAATTATCTCAAATATCTTGAACCTTTCATTGACATCATAACAATGGCATGGAAATACAATTCATCTTTAATTGCGAAATTTAAAGCTCCAAAATTATGCAGTTAGCGTACATAACTGAAAACTTAGAAATATTAAAAATAAATGATTCAGTGAATGTGTTACAAGATGCACTTATTTTAAATCTTGAAATTTATTTTTTTAATATCAAATATATACGACAGTTTAAATGGTCAATTAGAGAGATCTCTAGTGTCAAAATTACTTTTTTTTTATTGGATATTTGAAATTGTATTTTACTTTTATATTATACGAAATTTAAAAACTATATATGAACTCTTTCTTAGTTTAATCCTTCTAATAATATTTTCCAAAAAAATAAAAAGAGAAGTAAATCACCAATGACGTAGTATGTGCCACTATGTCTAATACAATCAATCAGCAAAGAAGAAGAGAGAGGAGAGAGTGAGTCTTTTTTTAGTTTTTTGAGTAATATCCATAGAAGAAAACATACCCCTAACTATTTTTTAAGTAAAGTAAAAGTAATTTTTTAAAAATTATTAATAAGATGATATTCATGGAACCACATGATAATGATTAGGTTGGGAAGTGCTACCGTCCTGAACAAACCCCTTACCAAAAGATCATGCATGGCATAATTCATGACGTAAATGCGTGCCCTTTACGAGAAGATCATGCATGACATAATCCATGACGTAAATGTACTAATCAATTGTCAGGAGAGAGAGAGAGTAGGTGTAAATTTTTTTTGACCTCAAAGGACCCCAATGCTGTCAGGCTCAAACTTTCCAATAACACAGCCTTTAAAGACCATATTTAGGGCTTCCATGTATAAATGGGGGCAAATAATGGAGAATATCAGCACTAATACTCAACAATGGCAAAGAACGAGCACAAACTGAGATTGTTGGGAGCATGGGCAAGCCCCTTTGTTTACAGGGTTGGATTGGCCCTCAAACTTAAGGGTATTGAGTACATGGAAGAAGATCTCAAAAATAAGAGCCCCCTTCTCTTAGAATCCAACCCTACTCACAAGAAGGTCCCTGTGCTCATTCACGGCAACAATCCAGTGTCCGAATCGGTGGTAATATTAGAACATATAGAGGAAACATGGCCCGAAAACCCCCTCATGCCACAAGACCCCTACGACAGAGCCACAACTCGTTTCTTGTCGAAATTCATTGATGACAAGGTAAAAGTCGACACTTGGGTAATTTGCCCTACTATTTATTTTAGAGGTTATCTAATAACAATCATTCATTTTTTTTTTTTGATACAAGGAGATCAAAAACACCCTTGACCATTACTATGAAATCGGATGGCGGAGTGTATATGTCACTATCCTGCCTCGAGGATTTTTTGAACTCTTTGACATATTCCAAGCTAGTGTTCTAAAACATATGCAAATTGCTCGGGCAAATACGTGAAACTCGCCCGAGTCTATCCCGAGTTTATAAATATAATTTGATTAAAATATACTATATAAAATATAGCCTTCACATTTTGACATCATATGTTGAAAAGCATGCTAATTATTATGTATCCACACTCATTTTCTATCTTTTTTTCTTTTTCTTTTTTTTTTTTTTAATTTATTAGAGGTCCTGAGTTTAATCATTGTTTTTTTTTCTTTTTGTCTTTGAGGAGCTCCAATGTTGCGAGCTCGAACCTCCACATCATGTTGGGGCATGTGCATGGCACTGCCCAAAGAGTCATTCAAGCACATGTGTGATAAAATTTACATATTAATATAAATAAATTTTTCAAACATGGTGCACAACCCACTTACCCAAAACTCACCTTGCCTTTAGGGTGAGGACAAGTAACTCGGCCAAGTCCAAGTGGCATCGACCGAGTCTCTTAACACTTCTCCAAGCAATCCAATTTTACATGAGACTATTCATGTACCCATGGCGGCATTTTACAGTTTCAATCTTCTCACTCTGTCGTTTTTTTTTTTTTTTTTTTCTCATAATAAGCATCAATGAGAAGAACAAGTTTGTTTGTAAAATAATTGGTGTTGGCGTGTTAATATTTTCCATTTTGAAACTTGGCGTGTAGCATGATTTCCAATTTGTTTCTCTCCAAAAAGAACCATAGGTGCCGATGATAACTTAAAGGGTGGCTCACACTTTTTCCCTTTTACCTCAGTTCATACCAACACTTGGGATGGTTCTCAAAACACAGGGGGAGGAACAAGAAAAGGCAATGAAGGAGGCAGAAGAGGCTCTTAAAACCCTAGAAAGGGGCGGCATCAAAGGGAAGTTCTTTGGTGGAGAAGCAATCAGCATTGTCGATATTTCTGCTAGTTGTTTAAGCATCTGGTTGGAAGTGTTTGGGGAAGCAATTGGCACAAAATTTATGGATTCTGAGAAATTTCCACTCATTAGTTCTTGGATTGAAGAGTTCACAAGCATTGATCTAGTCAAGGAGAGCTTTCCTCCTCGTGATAAGCTTCTCGCCTACCATAAAAGCTTGCTATGAAGACATGCCCGCAGCGAAATTTTCTCCGAATTAATGATATCAGTCTGTGAGTTTAAGGTTTTCACGTGGAGTCAAAAAATAATAACAAGCAAAAGTGAAAAGAGTTGGATTGTGGAAGATTTCTTTGCTCACAATTTGCATGTAGAGTTGAGTACCTAAGGAGATCGCATCTTAGGCCACAGTGATTGTTACTTAAAGAATTTATGCTAAGATGCTTTGACCCTCCATTTATCTAAAATGAATCATCTAAAATCCTCAAATAACAGAGAGGTTCCTAGATAGGTCATTTGTCTTGAAATATTGGACAGGTGAAACAAGGCCGTAGTATTTGGTTGAGGAAGATTTAAGAAAATACAAAGAACGATGGATCTTTTTTTCTCCTACAATTAGCCTATATTTTGCCCCCTTACTGTAAGAATCACTTAACAAAAAGGCGGATTGGGCAAACTATTCCTCGGAATATCTTGAAACAAAATGACACAAAAAAATCGCACCAATAATTGCATTAAAAAAAGTGAGCTTACACAGCGTTAGAGTTGCCTCAATGTAGAGAGAAATCAATGTAGAAGGAGCATGATTTAGAGAACCGGTAGAAACGTTGGAGAGAGAGAGAGAGAAATGAATACTAAAATAAAATGAGGAAAACAAAACTCTATTTATAGGTTTGTAAGTGTCTTTTTCTGGTAAAGGAGTTGCAAGTATCTTTTCATGACTAATTGTTATAGAGTATAACTATTTATTAATCAATCGTGGCAAATTTTCCCTGGATTTCCGGGATAGCATTGGCGCTTGGAAATGAATTCACAATTAGGAACAAATTAGTCAAACTCCCTTACTGTTTTCAGGCATGCATGCGAGATGATATTTGCCTCCCCTTCAATATTGTTAAGGAAAATACAAGTGCGATGCTCGTAACAATCAAATTAGAGCATGCCTTAAAACATTTCACTACAAGAGGGTGTTTTGAAGCTCAAATATTTTTAAATTGATCATCTCGACCTCAAGATGCATGAACGTGAGAAAAAATTAGATTTCAAGTTTTGAAAATAGTGCATCTTGCAATGCATTTTGGATCGTTAATTTTCAATATTTTCAAGTTTTTATAAATCTGCCCATTTTTTTTTTTAAAATAACTTCTTCACAATTAGCTTAATTTGGGATCATGTCTCTATATTGATTTTCTAATGGAGCAAGTTTCTTATACGGAACGCCAATAAAATTTCAATTCAAAACAAATGGTCTCCCTCTATTCCTCTCGTGCAATCTTAATATCTTACTAAAAATGAAGGTTTGATGTTACTCATGAACTCCCTCTTTTTGTCTTTATTGCGTTGTGCTTCTATAAATTATTGATTTTTATACATACTTTTTATGAGGAGTGCCTATCTTTAATGGCGAGAGAAAATACAAGCTTTTTACAAATCAAATGTGCTTAATGAAAAAAATTCAATTTATTGTGATTTTGTCATCCAAAAAATCAAGTATCTTAAATCTAAAAAATTTCTAAAACACAGGAAGATAAATTAAACATGCACAAAAAGACAAATATCGAGATAATATATAATTCAGATATATGAAAAGCAGGCAATGTTTTTATTTAAAATTTTAAAATTTTGAATATTCTAATTTGCCAAACAGGCCCTAATTTAGGAGATCCCGACATGCAACAATAGAAGATAATTGTACCATTTGCCAGCATTGGAAACCCATTCCACGACTATGAAAATATAAAATGGGAATAATCTTTTTGGCTTTTGAATGAAGCCAGGGCAGCCGATATAACTCATTTAATATGGTGCGGTAAGAAAGGTTTTAGTTTTTTCTTGCATGAGAGACTAAAGGTTCGTTTGGTTCATGCGTGTATAAAACAGTTTTCATATGTAAACAGTTCACTGTGTAATAGTTTTTCAATTTTATTTTTTTCCCATGTTTGGTCAACATATCTAAAATTCATGTGCACCAGTTTCTTATGTTTGGTAATCCATTGGTAAACTGTTCCCAGATATCGCTCTCTTTCTCTCTCTCAAACCCATTTTCTCTTTCTAAAAGTCCAATCTTTATTTGTTTCTCTAAAAACCCGATCTCTCTTTCCCTCTCTAATTCCTAAATCTCTCCCTCTCTAAAAACCTTCTCTCTCTAGAAACCAAATCTCTCTTTTTCTCTCTAAAAACTCATTTTCTTTCTCTAAAAACCCAATATCTATTTCTCTCTAAAAATCCAACCTCTTTCTCTGTTTAAAACTTATTCTCTCTATAAAAACTCAATCTCTTTATTTTTAAAAACCTAATCTTAACCCATTTTCTCTATATAAAAACGAATCTCTCTCTCTCTCTCTCTCTCTTTAAAAATCCAATCTCTTTTTCTCTCTAAAACCAAATCTCTCGTTCTCTCTAAAAACCCATTTTTTCTCTCTAAAAATTCAATCTCTCTAAAAACTCATTTTCTCTCTCTAGAAACTTAATCTCTCATTCTCTCTTAAAACCCATTTTCTCTCTCTAAAATCCCATTCTCTAAAACCTCAATCTCTCTCTCTTTAAACTCAATTTCTCTCTCTAAAAACCATTTTCTCTATAGAAACCTAATTTCTTTCTCTATAAAAACTCTCTCTAAAAACTAGCTTCAAAACAGAGAGCGAGAGATGGCAGATGGAAAAGATTTTTTCTTTTTCTTTTTTTTTGGTTTTACTCCCCACCTTTTAGGATGTAGATGTCTTTTCACACCATTCGCTCCTTGTGGTAGTAGAACCTTTTCCTATGGAAAAAGTTTTCATCTGCTTTACGCTTGAACCAAATATGTGTAATTGCATGTTTCATATGAAAATCGTCTCATGATGCACGTTTTCATATGAACAAAATGAGCCCCAAGTAACAAGCCCATTGATTTGGTTTGAGAAACTAGGTGGCAAGCCCATATTAGTCCCCACAAAAGAAAGAGTTTCTTCATACGAATGGCTGGAGAAAGAAAGTGTTTGGAATGTGGTCATTCTGTCAAGAGCAGAATGGCTGTTGAAGCACCAGGGAATCCAATACCAGTACATAGATCTTTCTATCAAAAGCCACTCACTTTTACACTGCAACCCGGTTTACAAGAAGGTCCCCTACCTCTTACATGGCCAAATCCAGTGGCCGAATCCTTGTTGATCTTAGAATATATACAAAAGAAACATGGCCACAAAAACCCCACCTTGGCCAAACATCCTCATGAGAGAGCAGTGCCTCAGATTTGGGCCAAATTCTGAGATGATAAGATAACCCTTCTTCCCTTGCTAATCACTATAGCATATTCTAGTTTTTCAGAGTTCGGATTTAGAAAGTTTCTGGTAAAGCATCTGGAGAGGATGAACAGTAGAGATTAACAATGACCAGGTGGATGACTACTCTCTGCCGTCTGTCTTGGAGAAAGAACGGTGGATGCCGTACAATGTCGTGTACAAGAACGGTGGATGCCGTACAATATCGTGTACCATTAGTGGTGTAAGGCTACTCTTCTAAATGTACGAGGAGAAACAAATAATGTTCCATGTGGTCATAGTAAGAGCAATGACCATAAGGTCAGTCACTATTCGATCTATATGTTGGATGATGATGGAGGGATATAGGATTGCATCGATGAAAAGGTTAGTGGGACATACAGAGTCCTCTCCACCAATATCCAACCCACTGGTGAGACGAGAAAACCTCATGGTCATGCTGTTATGATGACCACATAGATCATTATAATTCTACAGATCCATATAGTAGTAACTGGGCAAATATGCATTACACCACTACCAGCAGGCTCTCAGTGATGCACAAACCCAAGTAAGAGTGATCTCTTCAGTCTGTCAGTAGGAACAGACTGGTGGATGCTACCATATGTGTTTTTCTGCTGGATTCCGGTGCCAGAATCTACAAATAAAAATGTCCATTCTGCATACCCTATGCCATACAATTCTGTATGAAATGTTTCTCCATAGTACCTCTCTCTCACTCTCTGGCCAGTGCAAATGCATAAACATTCTATGATTCATACTTTCCTCTTTCCATTGTCATCAAGTGCCAAAACGACACAAATTTCATGCAAATTAAGGCTGTACCAGACAACAATATGCGTGACCAATGAACCTCTATGTGAAAATACTACATTCTATCTCATACCTCTCTTTTCTTTTTGGCTTGTAGAGATGCTTCCTCTTCTATGGAGAATGTCATACTCAGAGGGAGATGAACAAGAGAAGGTGGTCCAAGAATTGCTCTAGTACCTTTCAATTTTGGAAGAAGGCCTAGAGGGGAAGTTCTTCAAAGGCAACATGATTGTACTTTCCGATATTCTTCAGCATTGGGTTTCATGTTGCCCTCAAGTTCTCACGGAGGTTGGGAGTGTAAAAGTTCATCGAGCCTGGGGATTTTCGTCGGCTTCGAGTATGTACCAGTGATTTGTTGGATGTTCCATTAATTGGAGAGAACCTACCACCTTTTGATCCGATGCTCACTAGCTTTCATTCGCAATGACAGGCTGGGCTCGCTGCCAAGAACAAGTCTCGAGAGAAAGTCTTTTCTTTTGGATGACTGTTGAGCAGTAAATAAGCGAATTTGAACCGTAAGATCGGGTGATTGGGTATACGATAGCATGTTATACGTGTTTGCCTTAACAAGTAGGCGCTCTCTTTCTAATAGGTCATCGCATGCCTTTATATTACTTGAGAAATACATCTACTTGCTTAAGAGAATTGATGGAGGATGGCCATAATCCACATCATGCAAAACAAACAAACAAAAAAAGACATCAAGGATTTTAAGTTCTACCAATAGAAATGGCATACCTCCTCATCAAGTGAAAAGCATACCACTGAAATACGACCAGTGACAGCCTTACTATAACAAACTTGGAAGTCCTTGTGGCCCACTGGCATCAACAACCTTCATCATTGCCATGTTTCAAATACAAAGACTTCGCTCCATATACTCCAAAAATTTACTTTTTCATGACTTATCAAACCAAAATGCATTTACAACAATAACAACAATTTGATGCAAGACACATAGAATAGTGCATGTTATAAAGTACAAGGGAAGAAAAGAAAGCAATTTTTTCTAGGGAAAGTATAAAAGAAGACCATTTACATTTGATATAAGGAGGTCACAATTACCGTCGGACATTGGACATCAAATCAGGTGGTTGAATGAGTGCCATTGACTTTGTGACGCACCCCATAGCATTAGAGTTTACAATCGATTGTTAAGGATGATTGCGACGTCCTTATACCAAAGGTGAATGGTCTCACAGTATACAATCCCCTTTCCAATTAGTAGCTACCACGTGAGTGAAATAGATGTATGCCACTGGAAAGATTTGCCAATTTTATCTTTGCAAGTCATACTTGAAAAGTGAAGCTGTGTATATCACCAAGGACATTTAAGGCATGTTTAGTAGATCACGCTTCTCTCCCTCATCATCCCAAATTGAGTTTCGAGATGCCAATTGTGCTGGACTTTATTTACTATTGTCAAAAGTGTAAGATACAAACATACCATTTAAATCCAATTCAAATCAGGGTATCTGAGTTGCCTTCTACCTGTAGTAAGGTTATTTGTTTACATGGGTTACAAAGATACAAATTTCTCATGACAACTCCAACTCCAATTTGATATTCCAAGTTCGGTCCAAGTTTCCTTTAATTCAGTTTTCGTGGAAGCACAAAAACAATTAGGGAAATAGCCACTTAAACTAAAGAAATTTGCTCATGAACATATGCATCTTTCTTATAAATACCTGTCCGCAGACAAAGCCACTCTCAAATCTTGGTCAACAAACTGATGTTCATGAATAAAGAACATCAGTGTGAGAAAAGCAAGTTGGTAGTCACAGGGAAATAGTGTCATTTTACTTGTATTTCCATCTATTTCTGTAGTACATGGCTTTATGTACTCTATCTCTTTATCCATGGGCATCAGAGGAGAGAAGTGCAGAACCCCAGAGAAGTGAAGCATAGTTCCTCACGAACTCGTGCATCTTCACATGCCCCCCTTTCTCTGCACAAACTTCTTCTTTTTGTAGAAGTCGTAACACCCAAACCTATAGATGTTCATTTTGAAAAAGAGAATCCAAAATTAGTGTTGTGTAGAAGGTTTACAATCATGTTATTTAGTATACGTATGAGGAAAAAAGATGGCATTTGGAAAAGGAATTTAAGGTTTCACAGTCTGGCTAGTTGGAAACAACACCTTAAGAGGGCCTGAAACACGTGACTTCTCTCCTTGTCCATTTTATGACTGCGGTGAAAACCCAAGGAAACTTCTTTGAAGTGCATCAAAAACTAGGTCCATTGAGGGTTCCCCCACAGTGGTGGTCTGCAGAAGTGAATCATTGTAATTTTTGGATGCTAATATTGTTTTACAATGCAGCAGAGGAACCAGTTCTGGCAATGAAACAGTATCTCATACAAGCTTGTAATTTTTGGATGCTACTATTGTTTTACGATGCAGCAGAGGAACAAGTTCTGGCAATGAAACAGTATCTCATACAAGCTTCGACTAACGTACTTCCATGTTAAGTAATCACAATGGAACCAACATAATTTTACATGCAATGCATGTCACACATGCATGTGTTCAAAAAGCACATATTCTTCAAAGTGAAGCATGTTCTTCAGCTTTCGCAACATGTAGAAGAAACAAGGATCTATTAAAATTTAAATAGAAAACATGACGAGAATAAATGCATATACAATCAAGAATCAAAGTAAATCATTGAGCACTAGAAACAATTCACCAAGGATGACATGGATATGGTTGACAAACATGATTAATTTTCTGGAGGCAAGACAAATCATAATTAGTCTTATACAAAAGATTAAAAAACAAAAACAAAAACTGCATGGCATACATAAAAGGAAAAAACCGCAAAATAAATGTTCCATGTTTGATATCAATGACATATATTTTCACTCTGTTCATATTAAAGAAAGCCAAAAGGTTCCATGCTCCCGTGGGAGCATAGTCTGCATTTATCTCATCAAGTAAAACCCAATCTAGGAGTATTTTTAGGACCCCAAATTTTGGGGATGTAAAGTCTTCAACCTATAGACTAACCTCAAGAGAAAAAAAGAAAGAAATTCCACTATATGCTTGAAAATAAAATGCATCAAGATTGAATAGAGACCATCCAATTGTTTTAGGGTGGGGTCCAAGTGTTTAGAGAACTCAAAATCCACAGTTTTTATTTTGAAATAAATCAAATAAGGATACTTAGTGTTTCCCAAATTTTGAGATCAAAAAATCCTCATAAGTCTTCCTGGAGGAGTAAATGCAGAGTATGCTCTCGCAGGAGCATAGTACATGTGCTCTTAAAGTATTGCCAACAATAAGTTGTAACGTTACCAAGGTAGAGAGCCAAGGTTTTCAAAGCACCACATAAAACAAAGTCGCAAGTGAAACAAAATAAATAATGAAGCAGAAGTAGTAGTCCAAATTTGGCTCTCAATTACACTCACAAACCCAAGCATATTGGCCATTGCTAAGCTTGGAAGAAGAACTCCAATCAACTCTTCTGGCCTACTAGCTCAGTTGGTAAAAGGAAAAAGGACTTGGCGCTATACTCAGGGATCACTCGGGATCCACTATTGCGTCCATTTCTAAATTCATAGGTTATTCCGACTCTATGGAGGCAGAGGAAACCACACGACATGAGGATGTCAAGCTCCTTCCTCCCTTCACATTCGAGTCCCTCACCATTGAGGAGACTCCAAGAACGTTATTGCTTGGGCTTCCAAATATTCTCCCCTACACTGAGTCCTAGCTCATATTTTTTATGAGATTAACCACCTTTGTAGGGATACGCAGGTCTTATGGAGGTATAGTTGGAGGGAAGGAAACCAAGCGGCAGACACACTCGCTAAGGAGGGAGCGGCACAAAAGATGGCTCTTAGGACTGTTTTTTGGGATTGGCCTCTTCCCGTGATTGTGTGTTTCAATTCATGTTCATAACAATATTACAAGATGATTCGCCTGCCTTTTTATCCTTCACCCTTGTTATTTATAAGCCCTGCACTGAGTTTGTTTTGAAGTGTTTTATGCCCACAAAATGGAGGCAGAATTGCTTGGAAGGCAGCACATGGGAACAAAGAGCGAGCAGCCATCAGGAATTGGCCCTTGTCCTGGGTGGTCAATGTGGCAGAGCCACCATGTAACATCAATGATTCCATTCCTACCTGTTAACATGTCAAAAAAAAAACCACCACAAAGAGCGATCGTCATATGTCCATTTGGATCATTCCAGAAACTTCCCAAGAGCTGCAGAGGACTAGCAAGTCAGTGTCACATGGACTTTGAGATTTTTATGTCATTGTGAACTATGAACAATTGCAAATCAAAATGATGCCCATCATCAGAACCACAGTCCATCCCATGATCCAACTTTGGAATCTAAAGTGGATGCACTCATTGCTAACCGTGTAGCCATGCAAAAGATGCACGAGTATCCTTTCATCATCTATCATCATCAATGGAGACACCAGCCATCCACTGCCTATCATCGTCAATGGGCATCCAAGACAAACTGCTGTTACTATGACAGACAAAAGTGGACTTGAGCAGAAAAGCCACTAATCTCTACAGTCCATTAGTGATGACAGAAAGTGGATGGTCGGTCTGTGTACAACATTATTATACACATGCGCATGTACTTGTTTTAAACTGTTTATCTTGTGTTGAAGAGGAAGTATCCATTGTACAAGCAATGGGTAAACCCACAAGTTGGGTGCTCTGTATAAAATTTTGCCACAAAGGAGAGTCCCAAAAATGCTTTACCGTAGCTCTTTTAGGTACGAAAAAATTGTGATCCAGGAACTTAATGCGGTCTACAAGGGCCCCATCTTGGTGCTGCGATACTGCTGCTTTAGCCAGGGCATCTGCTGCTGAGTTTGCCTCGCACCACGTATGTCACCATGAAACAATAATAGGCCTACAAATATGGAAGATCTTGTCGAAGATGTGAGACAACCTCCAAGGGCACGGGGAAGAGCGAGAGGACCAGGAGATGACATTTTTTGCATCCCCTTCTATGATTAGAGTCGGGCCCCGACTGAGGTTGAAAATGCATAGCCCTTCGAGGAGCACGATGACATCTGCCATGATGGAGTTGGTGTGGCTGATGGATCTGGAGAAGGATGTCAGCATGACACCAAGATGGCCTCTAAAGATGCCACCAATCCCAGCTGGGTCTGGGTTCCTGAGTGAGCAACCATCAAAATTCAGCTTGACCAGGTTCGGGGTACACGAGCAGGACTTAAAATGAGCAAAGTTTGCCAATAAGAAAAAAATCAGCACAGGCAAGATGTCGGAAAAGGTTGTTGTTATTGGCCCAAAAGATAATCAACGATCTTATCTAGGCCTTAAGAGCTTCAATGGTGGTCCTCTCTCCCTTAACGGTTCTGTTTTTGCACTCCATCCAAAGAACCCATAGAGTGGCTGCAATGGAAGCACACCACAGGAGGGAACCTGATTTCAACCATGGGACAGGGTAGAGATATTGGGTAAAGGTGGGGAACAGATCGCAGGGTGACCCATGACCAGTTAAATAATTGGAGTATGTCTCCCCAGAGGGTCAAGGCCACTTCACAGTGGATGAAGTGGTGGGCATTGGTCTCTGCATCTGCTGTACACATTACACATCTGTTGGCGATGGGGACTCCCCTCCTTTGGATCTGGTCGACAGTGATAGGTCTTTCAGATAGGGAAATCAGGGAGAAGACCTCAATTTTGGGGGGAATGAAGAAGAAACAAGCCTTACTAACAATAGGGGGAGAACAGGATGTGGGAGAGGAGAGGGGATGGAGTATGTTGTAGAAAGAGGAAACTGAGAAGTGACCCGAAGTGGAGGGGGACCAGATTAGTTGAACCCCTCCAAATGCAGAGAGAGAGATAATAAGTGAAGAATAGAAATGGATGGAGGAATTCTTCAACCTCATGGTTGTTTACTGGCCTGCGGAAGTTTGGATTCCAGAAGTGAGAACAACCCTGGGGTACAAAGAGGTCAGACACCATGGACTCCGTTTTGAGAGTCACTAGGAAAAGAAGAGGCAATAGGTCCTTTAGGGGAGAACTGCCCAGCCAAATATCGTGCCAAAACTTGACCCTGTTGGCCAACTGGGGGTGGAAGTAAATGTGAGCCTTAAAAAGATCAAGGGCGAGGAAGGATAGATTTCCAGACCCCAGAGGATCTACAGGTGATTGTGGGATCAGATAGCGTATGAGGTTAGTGACAAAGGTACTCGTGTTGGAGCACCTCAATCCATAGTTGGCTATCCTAGATGAGAAAACGCCACCACCATTTACCTAAAAGGGCCAAATTATTGTTTCTCAGGTTGCAAATTCCTAAGCCTCTGGGTGCCTTGGTTGGCACACTATTTCCCAAGAGATGAGGTGAAATTTTTGTTGCTCATCCAGACCAGACCACAAGAAATTCTTCATGAGCTGCTGTAGACAGTTTGCTACAGAGGCAGGCATATGGAAGAGGGACATCTGATAAATTGGGATGTTAGAGAGGGTGGCCTTGATGAGCGTGACTCTACCTGCCGATGATAGGAATCTGCCTTTCCAACCAGCCAGTTCCCTTTCAAACTTGTCCAACAATGTAACTCCATTGTTGCTTTCTAAGGAGTCCAGTACTGAGGGGTACGCGAAGGTAGGTGGACGGCAGGCTATTCACTTGGGCATCAACGGATACACCAATCATCTTGGATTTGGCCATATTGAGCCTTAAACCAGTGGCCAACTCAAAGCACTTGAGAAGAAGTAAGAGGGAGTCCACTTGTTGAGTGGTGGCCCAGCAGAAGAGAAAGGTGTCGTCAGCATACTGGAGTGGGAGATGACCTGGCCTTGACTCCCAATTTTTAACCTTTCCAGCAGTCCACGTTGGTGCATCCTTTCAATGGACCTGCTGAAAACCTCTGCCAACACGGAGGAAAGGGGATAGGGGATCCCCTTGTCGAAGACCTCAAGAAGAAGGCAAAAGACCTCTCAGGGCGCCGTTGATTAGGATAGAGAAAAAGGGTTTAGGAGATACAACCTTTTAATCCAAGTCCTCCAACGTCTACCGAAACCCATTCTAAGCATCCAGGAGATTCCAGTCCACATGATCGTAAGCCTTCTCCCAATCAATTTTGATAACAATTCCAAGGATTCTGCAAGGTGTCTAGAGTGTATACATTCATTAACCGCTAGGGCTCCATCTAGGATCTGCCTATCCTTGACAAAGGCCCCTTGTTGGGGGCAGATGACCCAGTCTAGGACCTCTCTTAAGCGAGAGGCAAGAACCTTGGATAGAATTTTATAAGAGCTATAAATGAGGC